CAAGATGGAAAGAACAGATTAATATCTGGTAGGCTTTCTGATGAAGATACTTTATGCTAGGAAAAACCATTTTCCAGAAAACAAACGTGAAGTACTCATAAATTCAGTATGAGTAGTTATTAACCAATTCGTCTTTATCACTTCTGTGAGCTAGGCAGCCATGTTCTAGCTTATGTAAGAAGAAAGCTATATTGTATGGATCCTTCTCCTGTCCTTGTCCTTTTGGTTTTGTTCGATGGAACTCACTGGTCATTTGAATAGAAAGTGAAAATAGGGATGGAATCACTTATGGTAGCTTAGCTGCTCCTCTATAATAGATAGCAAATGATGGTATATGTCCCCTGTCACCTAAAGCTACTACTTAGGAGCTAGAATTTAAGCTTTTATTTGAAAATTATGTTTTGAAAATACTATTTGCTTAGAGGCTTTCTGATTCTAGCACAGATTTTTCATATTTATCACTGTATTTAATTATAAAAGCCTCTTCTGGGGTTTCAGCTCAATTTTTTTTTTGTCAGACTAAGACTTGAACTTGCTATCTGGCTAGTTGGTGCTCTACCATGTGAGTTATACCTCCATCTCTCAGCTCTAGATGTAACAAAATGTACTAGTTGGGTGTTGGTGGCTCATACCTGTAATCCTAGCTACTCAGGAGGCCGAGATTTGAGGATTGTGTTTTGAAGCCAACCCATGCAGGAAAGTATGTGAGGTTCTTTCTTACCTTCAACTAAACCACCAGAAAACTGGAACTGGAGCTCTGTGGTTCAAAGTGGTAGAATACTCGTCTGGAGCAGAAAGCTCAGGGACAGCATTCTGGCCATGAGTTCAACCCACAACCAAAAAAGCCCCAACAAAACAAAAACCCAGAAGGACTAGGTAGAAACTCTTCAGTGTTTAGTCACTTTTCTGTCACCGTGACAAAGCAGCCTGAGAAAATTATCTTGAAGGAGTGGGGGGGAGATTGATTTGGCTTATGGTTTGAGATGTTTTAGTCCAGTCATTTGGCTCTATGTCTTGGGCACAGTGAAACAGAACATCATGATGGAGAGCCATGTGGGTGGAGTAAAGCTCCTTACCTCATGGTAGTTGCCAAGAGGAGAGAGGGATGAGTTGGGAACAAGACACTCCAACTGCAGGTGCCAATGCCTCACCTCTGTAATCCTAACTATTCTGGAGGCTGACATCTGAAGATTACTGTTTGCTACCAGGTTGGGCAGAAAAGTCTGTGAGACTCATAACTGCAATTGACTGTATTCTCCATTTAACCAGCAAAAAGGCAGAAATGGAATGGTGTGGTTCAAGTGGTAAAGCACTATGAGTGAAAAAGCTCAGGGACAGTGGCTAGTCCCTAAGTTTCAAGTCCCAGGACTGATACACACAGTGCACGCAAACACACACACACACACACACACACACACACCACACACACACACACACACACACACACAGAGATAAAGCCAGTATCATCTCCCAATGACCCATCGCATTGTGAGTCCATCAGTAGATTAATTAATCCATTGATGCTTGTTTCCAGGTTCTACTAGACTTAATATTTTAAGGAAATTTGAGGCATTTGACCTACATGAATATTTTTAAACCTTAGGTGTATATAGAATCACCCAGAGGGCTTGATAAAACACTAGTTAGTAGATGGTAACTTCAGAGTTTCTGATTGAATAGGTCTGGAGTGTTGCCTTGAATTTCTAAGTTTTTCAGTTGCTACTGCTTTGAGGACTGCACATTTAGAATCACAGACTTAGACAGTCTTTGCTATGTAGAGATCTAATTATATGTAATAATAAATAGAGACCCCCTTCCAGCTCATATGTATATGGTGATAATACATCTTAGCCATTAGGAGAATTCTGTGCTGTCAAAAATGTTGTGGGTGCTGGTGGCTTATGCCTATAATCCTAGCTATTCAGTTGGCTGAGATCTGAGGATCAAGGTACAAAGCCAGTCTAGGCAGTAAAGTCCATTACCTGCCAGAAACCTGGAAGTGGCTCAGTGGCTCAAAGTGGTAGATTGCTAGCTTTGAGCAAAAAGAGCTCAGGGTCTGTGTCCAGGTTCTGAGTTCAAGCCCTATGACTGCCCCCCCCCAAAAAAAAATTGTGATTAGGTGGTAGTTATTTATAATAATAGTGCAGAAAGTACTAATATTTACTGAACCCATTTAAAGCTCTGATGAAACTTTATTGTGCTTAGAAAAATGTTTCATAGATTTGTAGCCTCTATTTAATGTACTACTTTGTTTTTTTTTTGGTCAGTCCTGGAGCTTGAACTCCACCCAGTGAATTCTTTTGCTCAGAGCTAGTGCTCTACCACTTTGAGCCACAGAGCCACTGATACACTACATCTTTTGATTAGGTAGTTGAACTTGATAAGTACAAGGAATCATGAGCAGTGAATTTTGGACCTTTTTTGTGTGTGAGGGGTCCAGTCGTGGGGCCTGAACTCTGGGCCTGGGTGCTGTCCCTCAGCTCTTCAGCTCAAGGCTAGCGCTCAACCACTTGAACCACAGCGCCACTTCCGACTTTTTACTTTAGGAATCAAACCCAGGGCCTCAGGCCTGCAAGGCAAGCTCTCTACCACTGAGCTATCTTCCCAGCCCTTTTGGAGTGTTTTGAAAATCTCTATTAAAGGGTTTTCTTTTGAGATGGGGGACCAGTTATGGGGCTTGAACTCGGGGCCTGGGTGCTGTTCGTGAGCTTTTTTGCTCAAGGCTAATGTTCTACCACTTTGAGCCACAGCTCCACTTTGAGTTTTCTGATAATTAGAGATAATGAGTCTCATGACTTTCCTGTCCAGGCTACCTTTTGACTGATTCTTAGATCTCAGCTTTCTGAGAAGCTAAGATTACAGGTTTGAGCCACCAGTACTTGGCTAGAATTGAGTTTTCATACTGTTTTGTTGAAGTCTAGAGTAAAAGTGAATATTTTGCTGTGTGGTTTAGTGACTCGTGATTTCTACACTTCTCGTGTAACCTAATTACACTAAAAGTGGGCTTTTTAGTTTAAAGTAGAATGGTGTTGTACAAGTTGACATTGTGTAAAGAAAATGGGCCATTTGACTTAGTAAAAATTCACTGTTGGGGCTAGGAAGGTGGCTCAGTGGTAGAGGGCTTGCCTTGCATGCCTGAGGCCCTGGGTTCCATTCCTCAGCATCACATAAGCAAAAAGAAAAAAGCTGGAAGTGGCGCTGTGGCTTAAGTGGTAGAGCGCTAGCCTTGAGCTGAAGAGCTGAGGGACAGTGCCCAGGCCCAGAGTTCAGGCCCCACAACCGGATCCCCCCAAAAAAATTAAAAACCAAAAAAAACTCACTGTCATTGCCTTTAACCTCATTTCTGATCTGAATTTTTTTTTTTGGGGTCCAGTCGTGGGTCCTGAACTCTGGGCCTGGGCGCTGTCCCTCAGCTCTTCAGCTCAAGGCTAGCGCTCTACCACTTGAGCCATGGCACCACTTTCTCCTTTTTTCTTTTTGCTTATGTGGTGCTGAGAATTGAACCCAGGGCCTCAGGCATGCAAGGCAAGCGCTCTACCACTGAGCCACCTCCCAGCCCCTTCATTATTCTTTAAAAAATATTTATTGTTATTATAGAGGTGATGTACAGAGGGATTACAATTACAGGAGTTAGGTAATGAGTACGTTTCTTTTTACTTTTGTTTCTTGACAGTCCTAGGACTTGAACTCAGGGCCTGAACACTGTCCCAGAGCACTTGAGTCACAGTGCCCCATCCAGCCTTTTCTGCTTAAGTGGTACTGAGGAATCGAACCGAGGCCTTCGTGCATGCTAGGCCAAGCACTCTCCTACCACTAAGCCATATTCCCAGCCCCTGCATTTCCTTTTGTGCAGTGCCCTCTGTTCCCTCATTCTCTCCAGTCCTCCCTCCTGTCTCCACCTGTAAGTTATATAATTCACTTAGCAATGTTCAGTGAACACCACTGCTACACTTTTTCACCCCTTTTCCCTGGAGTTCTGTACTTCCCCTGATACCCTCTTGAAGATGTATATTAATAATTCTTTTTTTTTTTGGCCAGTCCTGGGGCATGCACTCAGCCTGGCACTGTCCCTGAGCTTTTGTTCAAAGGTAGCACTTTACTATTTGAGCCACAGCACCACTTCTGGCTTCTTCTGTTTATGTGGAATTGAACCCAGGGCTTCATGAATACTAGGCAAACACACTACCCCTAGGCCACATTCTCAGTCCTATTCATATTCCTTATTTTTTTTTTTTTTGTTTTCTTTCTATTCTCTCATCCTTACCATAGTAACTAAATTTTTAACTTTTGTATTACCTGAGTTCAAGGTCTCTTGCCCCCTTTTGCTCACAGCTGTCATTCTGCCACTTAAGCCACACCTGAAGTTTTAAAGAGCTCTTGGATTTATCTGCTGGGCTGTCTTCACATGGAGTTTCTCAGGTCCCAGCCTTGAGCAGCTAGGATTATAGAGATGAACACAGGACTATAAGGCATGAGCATTGGTGCTTGTCCTGAATATTTTTTCTTTGGAGTCTCATTTACTATCACTAGCCTAAGAAACCGCCCAAGTTTTCATCTTAGGGAAAAAAAGGTAGCTATTTTTCCTCACCCTTGTAGTAAGAAAGCAAAGTTACCTGTATGTGAAACAGTAGTTTGGAAGTATCTCTTACGTTATTCAAGATAAATGGATGTTATTCAAGATAAATGGGTAAGGTTTATCAAAGACGACTATACTTGTGGTTTATTCAGAAAAATAGGTTCTCTAAACCTGCTTATCCTTTTCTAAACTACTATAAAGAGTAGTGTCTTTCATTACAAGTATAGTTCAACAATGGTCAAAGTATTTCAATTTATTTCACTGTTAAACTTACGTAAGTTTAATATATTATCTGGAGTATTCTAAAAATTATTTAATTTGAGATGGAGAGAAGACTGCTTTGAGTTTTTTCATTTTAGCATTGTTAAACTGATACATGTTTTAAATAAGGAATGTAATTCTTTCTTTTTTTTTTTAAATATAGGGTAAGCTTGATGATTACCAGGAACGAATGAACAAAGGGGAAAGGCTCAATCAAGATCAGCTGGTAAAGATAATAAATTTCTTTCTTTCTTTCTTTTTTCCCTTTTTCTTTTTGTCGGTTGTAGGGCTTGAACTCAGGGCCTGGGCACTGTCCCTGAGTGTTTTTTGCTCAAGGCTCGTGTTCTACCACTTTGAGCCACAGCACCACTTCCCGTTTTCTGGTGGTTAATTGGAGATAAGAGTGTCACCGACTTTCCTGCCTGGGCTGGCTTCGAACCAAGATCCTCAGATCTCAGCCTCCTGAGTAGCTAGGATTACAGGTGTGAGCCACTGGCGCCCAGCTAAGAAATTAACTTTTTATTGACGATATTATGTTCATCATTTTAAATAAGAACATTTTGTGATTCTCTTTGTGTTTGTAATAAAGTTGGTTTTTTTCTCTTAGGATGCTGTATCTAAATACCAGGAAGTCACAAATAATTTGGAGTTTGCAAAAGAATTGCAGAGGAGTTTCATGGCATTAAGTCAAGATGTAAGTAAAAGGTTGTGTGTGTGTGTGATATGTGTGTATATGTATGTGGTCCTGGGACTCAAACGTGTCTTCATGGCATTAAGTCAAGATATAAGTAAAAGGTTGTGTGTGTGTGTGTGTGTGTGTGTTTGTTTGTTTGTTTGTGTGATATGTGTGTATATGTATGTGGTCCTGGGACTCAAACATGTCTTGGGCTAGTGTTCTATCTCTTGAGCGCTACATTGCCATTTATGGCTTTTAGTTGGTTGATTAAATATAAGGATGTCATGGACTTTTCTGCCTAGGCTGGCTTTGAACCTTGATCTTTGTATCTCAGTCTATTTTTTTTTCCC